GTACATGCGCACCTGGCTTTAAAAGGGAATGGGAAATGATAACGATGCCATTTGACCAACTATAGTGTATAATGATTATTGACAAATATATATTGAATTTAGGCTACCCTCCTCCACTCTGTAGGGCAATCGCCTGCAGGACTTAAAAACAAGGCAAAAACTAAAAGGTGCGCAATGTGTTTCAGCGTCGTCAAGGTAACGTGATAAAGTGCTGTCCCGTTCACAGCATTTTGAGCCAGTGACGTCAGTAAAGTCTGAGGGTTCAGGGCTTGGGCCTTGGACTCTAGCTCAAAGACTTGTGAGCATGTCTGACACAAAGATTTTCCCCCTCATCATTTTTAACTGCCCCTCAGTCACTTCATCCTGGCGCCAGGCCTGAAACCAGGAAATATTTTCCATCAAATATGATCAGTTTCAGCAAAATCAGTGAATAAAGTTGTGTTTATGAAGTAAGCAGTGGTATTTTTTGTCATTGATGGACCAGATGGTTGTGCACCACAGACAATCTACATAAAAACTAAAAATCACATTTACACTGCAAGCTCAAGAGGCAGCGATACAGCTGAAAAGTAAATTTCTGCTCTATGTAAAAAATTATGACCATTAGCTACTAAGGGTCAAATGCATGCCAGAACTGAAGACGCCGTCTTACGGTTTACAAATGTCTCATCTTTGTTGTTTTAATACAGACACATTTAGATATGAACATAGTAATGGGTTTTGTCCAGCTTTCTGCCCTCATTTTTAAGCTGCATCTGTTTCTTCATAATTCTCAGAATGTCATTTTGTGCAGTCTCTTCAACAAAGTCCAACCACTAATAAAAACTTGATCAGTACTCGTATTTTCCCTTGTCATGTTACCTTATATAGCACACCATTCACAACCCAATATATCATCCAAGTACTTTTCAACTGGGAGGATGTAGTTTTGGTGTTGAAGTATGCATTATTCTGAGGTGTTTCCGTTGATCCTCTAGGGATATTTGCATTCTCATTTTCCCTCTTATACAATATACAGGGATAGATTCCTCTGCTCAAAAGGCTGAAGATCACTACCAACAGTATCCTTGTAAGAACAGTGTCACCGTTTCACCCCACACAAGTCATTTACAGACTTACAAGTCTACATCAACAAAACCACAAGACCTGGTATACGTGTTATAAAATGCGATTTATTCCCCCAAGTCTTCTGCAGCATCCTTATGGTGCCTGGAAGAAAAGAAATTGATTAGACTTTTAAATACACTGAGCTGATAGCACATTGGCATAGTTTACAGACTCACCTTTCCATCAAAGCACCGTTGTTCACATGGCCTATCTGCTGGTAAACACACTTCTGTAGAGCACATGAAATAGATCTACAGGGGAAAAACAAAACACCATTCACCATGGCAGAAACAGTTTATACATCCCATATGCATTTTCCACAGAATGACAGCACTGTTGCCTCTAAAGTACAAAATCTCAAGTGGAGGCAATTCAGTTTGGAGCAGACACTTAACACTTGAAAGCTAGACAAATATTACATTGACATATTTGGTAAATTTCATTTCCACTTTGCAATCATAATAGCGGGATAGAATACATTTAGTCAACAGGTTACGGTTCTATTTGTAAAAAACGACAACTTAATGAACAAGTCACCACATTACTGTGTCAGGGCAGTTGTACACAGCATAGCTTTGACCATTTAGACCCATAACGGCTTCCTGATTACTCACTTCTTCATCAAGGTATTTGTTTGTCTTTTGAACCATAAACTGGAAGGCTTCAACCACAAACCGCCTCTGATGACGATTTTTGCAGTCAATGATTTTAAGGAGGGACACATTTGGAGCATAAAGGTTGGGACACCTGGAGACAAATATGACTCATGGTTAGGCAGAAAGAGGGCGAGGAGGGTGTGTTTTAGTACACATGGAGTTCGGTCATGCTTACCCTTCATAAATAAGCACCAGTGCATTCCTTGCAGAGCGAGGGTAAGCTACACAGTAGTTGACAAGGATTACCGCATCTGGTTTTGGTGATATCAGGCGCAGTTCAAGATAGACTGGACTGCCAAGGAGCAGTCGCAAGGGCTGATTATTTGTGGGCAAGTAGCTTGAATACGTCTGATCTGTTGGGGTTAGACAGACAAAGAGCAAACAGTCAATGAATTGACAAGTCCATATTTCAGAGCTACTCGTATGCAATCCTACTCCAGCAGAATCAAGATTGTACTTGTTGCAATTGGTATAGAAAATAAGGCATAAATACCCAACCTTTAGCAATTCTCAAGTCAACAGCATATAAGCCATTAGAGAGGACCGCTGACGGCAAGGTGGAACTCGGGGTCTTCACCATGTAGCCAACGCTGGTTAGTGACTGCGGAGCAACGCCTGCTTTGCTATAGCGACACTCAACCATGAACCTATGCAGATACGTGGGTTAACATTTAAGCTTAGCACTACACAAAAACACAACAGAGTGGTAGAATTGTGCCCACAGAGTCAAAGTGTATTGTGTAACACTAACCTGAGTGGATCACGTGTTGCAATTACGCCATACTGGAGGGTCAGAGATTGGATGACAGTCTGCACTTCAGCCAGGTAGATCATCGTCTCACCAACTTCCTGTCAAGAAAAGTCAACTTGTCAGCTGTTTGCTTCAGGTTTCCCAGCAGATTACACAGCATGCATAATGTAAGGCCTGAAGCACACCCTCCAAGACTCCCAGTATGTTTAGAGTGAGTGCATTTATAAAATCCCTTTACTTGTGATTTAGCAATCTGCTCTTTTAATGACCACCACATTGAGAAACACATAATATTCTGTGCACCTTACAGCACAGTTAAAAATCTGAAATCTAGATGCAACACTATCAACCTGTGACATAACCGTGCGCTACAATGGCAGGTCAGGGCGAGGAAGTCGAGGCAAACGGAGGGCTGCAGCATTAAACGTGCTGCCTGTATTTGGGACAAGAGTCTCAGGGACAGGCCTTTTTCTGCCTGTCAGAGAACATGAAGTCTCTAGCAACTTAACTGAAAGTTAAATGTAATCCCTTCTGTTCACAGTATAGGTAGTAACCCCATTGCAGAAAATAAAATCATCTCCCCTTCAAGGATCTTGCTAATTGTTCAGTCAATCTCAATTGAGCATGAAGGCCTGCAGTGTGAATATAGCTTAACTAGGACTAAGCTTTTAAATTAAGTTTTACGGAGGTCAAGTTGTGAAGCATCTTCCAACTTGCTAAAAAAGTAACAAAGTGGAAAGTGCACTGGGAAAAATGTAAACACAAAGGGCATGACTTACATAAGCATGAACTCCACATTCTGAATTTTTGAACTTAAAGATGGCAACTTTGTCGTTGACAATGACTGGTTTACAGTTTGTACTCCCAGAAACAACAAGCTTGGTGGGGTCCACAGGGATTGATGCAGAGTTGGCACGAATGGCGAACACAAAGTGTTGATCAACAGTGCACTCTAAAGAGAGGGGGGGGCAAAAGTCACTTGAAAGACAGACATTTCCTATTTGAACATTTTTTTAAACCACTTCTCCCTAATCAGAAGCCTCACCATCCATTGGGTAGTAGCAGGTAGATGTAGAAGAATCCACACAGCATCCCATCATCTCACAGTCTGAGGATGATATTCCTGACTGGCCACAAGTCACCTGCTCTCCTGTGGGGATGCCACAACCTAATAGGACAAAGACCAAAAAAATAAACAAATTCTGACATCAAAAAACCAAAATCCAGTAAAGTGTTACTGTACAACATTTCTATTCAGCACATTTGCTGAACATACTTTGTACTGACCATGTGTCATTGGCAATGTTTGTAGTTGCGGCCCTTGCGGGGATGAAGGCTGTTGCGGGGATGGGGGCCCTTGGGGTGAGCCGGGCCCTAGGAGCGCTCCAGGCCGTCGCGGACATGCAGGCCGTTGCGGCCGCGCTCGGGTTGGATGAATTTGCGGGGATGAAGGTTCTTGGGGCAATCCAGGCAGTTGTGGGGATGAAGGCCCTTGGGGCGACCCAGGCCATAGGGGCAAAGAAGGTTCTTGTGGGGATGAAGGCCCTTGGGGCGACCCAGGCCATAGGGGCAAAGAAGGTTCTTGTGGGGATGAAGGCCCTTGGGGCGACCCAGGCCATAGGGGCAAAGAAGGTTCTTGTGGGGATGAAGGCCCTTGGGGCGACCCAGGCCCTAGGGGTGAGCCAGGCTGTTGCGGGGAAGAAGGTTCTTGTGGGGATGAAGGCCCTTGGGGCGACCCAGGCCCTAGGGGTGAGCCAGGCTGTTGCGGGGAAGAAGGTTCTTGGGGCGAGCCAGGCAGTTGTGGGGATGAAGGCCCTTGGGGCGACCCAGGCCATAGGGGCAAAGAAGGTTCTTGTGGGGATGAAGGCCCTTGGGGCGACCCAGGCCATAGGGGCAAAGAAGGTTCTTGTGGGGATGAAGGCCCTTGGGGCGACCCAGGCCATAGGGGTGAGCCAGGCTGTTGCGGGGAAGAAGGCCCTTGGGGCGACCCAGGCCCTAGGGGCAAAGAAGGTTCTTCTGGGGATGAAGGCCCTTGGGGCGACCCAGGCCCTAGGGGTGAGCCAGGCTGTTGCGGGGAAGAAGGTTCTTGGGGCGAGCCAGGCTGTTGTGGGGATGAAGGCCCTTGGGGCGACCCAGGCCCTAGGGGCAAAGAAGGTTCTTGTGGGGATGAAGGCCCTAGGGGTGAGCCAGGCTGTTGGGGCCCTTGGGGCGATCCAGGCCCTAGGGGCGAGCCAGGCTGTTGCGGGGATGAAGGCCCTTGGGGCGACCCAGGCCCTAGGGGCAAAGAAGGTTCTTCTGGGGATGAAGGCCCTTGGGGCGACCCAGGCCCTAGGGGCAAAGAAGGTTCTTCTGGGGATGAAGGCCCTTGGGACGACCCAGGCCCTAGGGGCAAAGAAGGTTCTTGTGGGGATGAAGGCCCTTGGGACGACCCAGGCCCTAGGGGCAAAGAAGGTTCTTGTGGGGATGAAGGCCCTTGGGACGACCCAGGCCCTAGGGGCAAAGAAGGTTCTTGTGGGGATGAAGGCCCTTGGGACGACCCAGGCCCTAGGGGCAAAGAAGGTTCTTGTGGGGATGAAGGCCCTAGGGGTGAGCCAGGCTGTTGGGGCCCTTGGGGCGATCCAGGCCCTAGGGGCGAGCCAGGCTGTTGCGGGGATGAAGGCCCTTGGGGCGACCCAGGCCCTAGGGGCGAGCCAGGCTGTTGCGGGGATGAAGGCCCTTGGGGCGACCCAGGCCCTAGGGGCAAAGAAGGTTCTTCTGGGGATGAAGGCCCTTGGGACGACCCAGGCCCTAGGGGCAATCCAGGCTGTTGCGGGGAAGACGGCCCTTGGGGTGACCCAGGCCCTAGGGGCAAAGAAGGTTCTTCTGGGGATGAAGGCCCTTGGGACGACCCAGGCCCTAGGGGCAAAGAAGGTTCTTCTGGGGATGAAGGCCCTTGGGACGACCCAGGCCCTAGGGGCCAGCCAGGCTGTTGTGGGGATGACGGCCCTTGCGGTGACCCAGGCCCTAGGGGCCAGCCAGGCTGTTGTGGGGATGACGGCCCTTGCGGTGACCCAGGCCCTAGGGGCCAGCCAGGCTGTTGTGGGGATGACGGCCCTTGCGGTGACCCAGGCCCTAGGGGCCAGCCAGGCTGTTGTGGGGATGAAGGCCCTTGGGGCGAGCCGGGCCCTAGGGGCAATGAAGGTTCTTGGGGCGAGCCAGGCTGTTGCGGGTATGAAGGCCCTTGTGGCAAGCCGGGCCCTAGGGGTGAGCCAGGCTGTTGGGGGGATGAAGGCCCTTGTGGTGAGCCGGGCCCTTGCGGTGACCCAGGCTGTTGGGGGGATGAAGGTTCTTGGGACGACCCAGGCCCTAGGGGCAATCCAGGCTGTTGCGGGGATGAAGGTTCTTGGGACGACCCAGGCCCTAGGGGCAATCCAGGCTGTTGCGGGGAAGACGGCCCTTGCGGTGAGCCGGGCCCTAGGGGCGAGCCAGGCTGTTGCGGGGATGAAGGTTCTTGGGACGACCCAGGCCCTAGGGGCGAGCCAGGCTGTTGCGGGGATGAAGGCCCTTGCGGTGACCCAGGCCCTAGTGGCAATGAAGGTTCTTGGGCCGAGCCAGGCTGTTGCGGGGATGAAGGCCCTTGTGGTGAGCCGGGCCCTAGGGGTGAGCCAGGCTGTTGGGGCCCTTGTTGTGACCCAGGCCCTAGGGGCAATGAAGGTTCTTGGGGCGAGCCAGGCTGTTGCGGGTATGAAGGCCCTTGTGGCAAGCCGGGCCCTAGGGGCCAGCCAGGCTGTTGGGGCCCTTGGGGTGAGCCGGGCCCTAGGGGTGAGCCAGGCTGTTGGGGGGATGAAGGCCCTTGCGGCGAGCTGGGCCCTTGCGGTGACCCAGGCTGTTGGGGGGATGAAGGTTCTTGGGACGACCCGGGCCCTTGCGGTGACCCAGGCTGTTGGGGGGATGAAGGTTCTTGGGACGACCCAGGCCCTAGGGGCAATCCAGGCTGTTGCGGGGATGAAGGTTCTTGGGACGACCCAGGCCCTAGGGGCAATCCAGGCTGTTGCGGGGAAGACGGCCCTTGTGGTGAGCCGGGCCCTAGGGGCGAGCCAGGCTGTTGTGGCAATGAAGGTTCTTGGGGTGAGCCAGGCCCTTGCGACGACCCAGGCTGTTGCGGAGATGAAGGTCCTTGCGGTGAGCCAGGCCCTTGCGACGACCCAGGCTGTTGCGGGGATGAAGGTCCTTGGGACGAGCCGGGCCCTAGGGGCGAGCCAGGCTGTTGCGGGGATGAAGGCCCTTGCGGCGAGCCAGGCCCTAGGGGCGAGCCAGGCTGTTGCGGGGATGAAGGTTCTTGGGGCGAGCCAGGCCCTTGCGGCAAGCCGGGCCCTAGGGGCGAGCCAGGCTGTTGCGGGGATGAAGGCCCTTGCGGCAAGCCGGGCCCTAGGGGCGAGCCAGGCTGTTGCGGGGATGAAGGTTCTTGGGGCGAGCCAGGCCCTTGCGGCAAGCCGGGCCCTAGGGGCGAGCCAGGCTGTTGCGGGGATGAAGGCCCTTGCGGCGATCCGGGCCCTTGAGGTGACCCAGGCCCTAGGGGCAATGAAGGTTCTTGGGGCGACCCAGGCCCTTGGGGTGACCCAGGTTGTTGGGGCCCTTGGGGCAATGAAGGCCCTTGCGGCAAGCCGGGCCCTAGGGGCAAGCCAGGCTTTTGTGGACATGCAGGCCGTTGTGGCTGCGCTCGGATTGGCTCAATGCGCTTAAATGTGGGATAGGATTGGCCACTGGAGCCAGGAAATACGCCTGGGTCAACCTTCAGGCTTCTCTCACAAGATGCGGTAGCAACTTGTGTCTGATCAAACGCATTGACGTACAACAACTGCAGGCTGTAGCGGTTACTCTGTAATACAAAGAGCTTTTTGAAGTAAGAACTCAATTCAAGACATGCAAAACTACACCAATATAATAGACTACAGAGCCAAGACAATTACTTCAAAGTACATTTAACAAAGCCTACCCGTTTCACATGGCACCCGGTAAAGGGTACAGCCAAGGTGTTAGTCAAAGGGTTCACTTCATAACCACAAGACTCTGGAGCATCCATAACAGACAGCAGGTCCTTTGAGCCTGATGAACGAAGTGAAAGCCTAGTCAGTTTACAACATGCATTCAGCAAAATAAAGACATTTAAATAGGCAGCAAAGTCAAGTACATACCCACAACTTTAACTTCACTTAATGAACCTTTCAGCACAGTAATTTGAAAGCCAACGTCACTGCAAACCACATCTAGCCCAGTCCGACGCCGACTGGTACCGCTGGTCTGGCTCCTTGAAGGGGTATTGTCAAATTCCATCTGGAAACTACTATCAGTACCTCTGCGCCATGTTCTTGGACTAGAATCTACTGTGTCAATCTGGTCTCCATGGTTAGCAAAATTGTAGAAGTTTCCACTGGCGGTGGCACCTTCAACTTGAAGCAATGAATCCTCAAGAACTGCATCTTCACCGCTGTCGTCCTCCCTGCGGTCATCTGGAGTGGAGAGGGGCAATTGTTACCAATGTCACAGATTGCAGTCAAAGAGAATTCAGCCATTTCCTGTCAAATCGATGTAGACAGCCCAGCCAAATGGTTTCTTCCAGTCTTTATGACTAAGCAGTTGCTAGAGTGGACTGAAACACAGACATCTCAGGTCATCCATGCTTGATATGATGGAAATACATAGGCTAAAACTAGGTACACGACAATCTCCACTATCGCGGCTGCCATCTTTGTTCCGATAGACGTTAACTCTGGTTTTTCCCTCAGGCGTCTTGCGGTGTTGAGAAAGTTACTCTTTTTGCAGAACTTCCAGGTTCTGATTCATTACACCGCCAGAATAATAGATACCTCCTCGTTTCCCATTGAAATACTGGCATTGTGAGTGCGCCAAAGTCACAAAATAATCTCATTTTTTGCTGAAGTATAAACATTTGTAAACAACTGTAATAGATATTTAGTTTAATTGCTAAACTACAAGTGAACAAAATTTCAATGAATTTGAACAACAACCTTGGGAGTTTTATTGCCCGCAAAATCTGCTTCAATTGACTAAGAACATAAGAAGCAGCCAGCAGAGTGTGCTATAGCCATGCCGTAGGGTCACACCTTTTGCTTTAACTTCAGGGGAAAACAAGACAAGTGTAAGGGACTACTTTTGGCTTTTAAATGACCAGTGTTGTGCAATTATTGAAGCAATAAACCTGGTCTTGTTATCATTTTCAAGTATATTTCAAGCCCTTTCCAGCTGTACAATTTGTTTTAGCATTTGACCACACTGCAAATTTTGTTCACATACCTACTACAATCATAAAGTCCATGACTTTGTAAATGACAGCTACAAAGCGATGTCTGCGTGTTACCATCCCTCATAAATGACAGTGGTCCAGTTGTAGACGTATGCAAAAGACGACATTTGCAAGAACCTGCTTTCAGTGACCACACGCTTATTATCGGTGCTGTGTCATTGGTGGTTGTTTACCTGGCGAGGGACGTTGAATTTTCTTGATCCGCGCCCATCCCTCTACTGAAACCAGCAGAGTCGCAGTCAGGACCAGCAGCAGCTCTACCCTGACGCCAGCCATGAATCAATGTGAAGGCCCTCCTGCAGTTGCTGAGCACCCAGACAAAGATATAGCCTCTTGAAACGGAGCGGGTGGCGGTTTGAAGTCAATTGAGTGCACCTGGTGACTACTGATTGGCACTCAACTAAAGTCACAGGTTTGGGAATGAAAACTGCCTGTTTACTAAAGGAAATGCCTATTTCATGTTTCTAAGATGTTACAGTTCTTTTAAAATAAATCAACTGACCAACATTTAATGATGTAAATGTATGACATTATGTTACAAGTTACAGGCACACAGTCTGTGCAAATACTTTTTGAAATCTTTTCTTAAGTATAACTGGAATTTATCTTTCAGACAAACATTTTGAATACTGCAAGCATGTTCAGTTATTTTATTTTTCTAAATAACACCTTGGATATTGCTTGTTACACATTTAATCAACACAGGGTTTTCCTTTGGGTGCTGCATTACATTTGGAGGTGTCTCTAATATTGTCATTGTCTTCCTCATGTACAGTGTGTACATGTCATTGTTTAAAAAAATCATTGAAATAGATTAAATACTATATGAAACCATCTACTCTCCATCTCAAAAGTAGAATCAACAGCTAAAACCATCTTACAAGCATCACACAAATACATTCTATCACAAAGATGTTGAATAGATTACACTTTACAGTTATACCTAATAAAGGTTGTCATTAACATTTAAATGCTTCATTTCACTGACGGATGGATGGATTTCACTGACTGAAATAATTAAACTCAGCTGGCTTTCATTTCAGTCTCCAAAAGAAAAGCTTCATGTAAACGGCTATGTTCAAATGTATTTCACAGAGCATTGCCGGACTTTTATCTTTTAAAGTTCTTCCATGATGATGGATCAGAAATCACACCTTTCAGCGTCTTTAACTAGAAGAAAAATATAAAATAAGACACCGAAATTTCTCGGGGGTGGCAAAAGAGTTTATTGCAAATATTTCAGTACAAGAACACAAACACCCATATAGTCTACTACTGCACCACAAGTCAAATAAGCAGACTATTCAAAAGTCTTTATCATTTAAAACATTAATGTCCTTTCTTGTAATCTTATTCTCTAGAGCCAAAAGAAAAACCTGGGTGTTTTTTTAGTAGTGAAGTAGAAATTCCCTTGTAGGCGTTGGCCTTATATTTGACTTTGTATGTAAACGCACCGCCCCAAACGATTGCTTCACTTTTGGTCTGAAAGCACCATAATAGCAATGCGCCAAAGTACATGCGCACCTGGCTTTAAAAGGGAATGGGAAATGATAACGATGCCATTTGACCAACTATAGTGTATTAATGATTATTGACAAATATATATTGACATTTAGGCTACCTCTCCTCCACTCTGTAGGGCAATCGCCTGCAGGACTTAAAAACAAGGCAAAAACATAAAAGGTGCGCAATGTGTTTCAGCGTCGTCAAGGTAACGTGATAAAGTGCTGTCCCGTTCACAGCATTTTGAGCCAGTGACGTCAGTAAAGTCTGAGGGTTCAGGGCTTGGGCCTTGGACTCTAGCTCAAAGACTTGTGAGCATGTCTGACACAAAGATTTTCCCCCTCATCATTTTTAACTGCCCCCTCAGTCACTTCATCCTGGCGCCAGGCCTGAAACCAGGAAATATTTTCCATCAAATATGATCCAGTTTCAGCAAAATCAGTGAATAAAGTTGTGCTTTTATGAAGTAAGCAGTGGTATTTTTTGTCATTGATGGACCAGATGGTTGTGCACCACAGACAATCTACATAAAAACTAAAAATCACATTTACACTGCAAGCTCAAGAGGCAGCGATACAGCTGAAAAGTAAATTTCTGCTCTATGTAAAAAATTATGACCATTAGCTACTAAGGGGTCATAAATGCATGCCAGAACTGAAGACGCCGTCTTACGGTTTACAAATGTCATCATCTTTGTTGTTTTAATACAGACACATTTAGATATGAACATAGTAATGGGTTTTTTGTCCAGCTTTCTGCCCTCATTTTTAAGCTGCATCTCTGTTTCTTCATAATTCTCAGAATGTCATTTTGTGCAGTCTCTTCAACAAAGTCCAACCACTAATAAAACTTGATCAGTACTCGTATTTTCCCTTGTCATGTTACCTTTATATAGCACACCATTCACAACCCAATATATCATCCAAGTACTTTTCAACTGGGGAGGATGTAGTTTTGGTGTTGAAGTACTGCATTATTCTGAGGTGTTTCCGTTGATCCTCTAGGGATATTTGCATTCTCATTTTCCCTCTTTATCTACAATATACAGTGGATAGATTCCTCTGCTCAAAAGGCTGAAGATCACTACCAACAGTATCCTTGTAAGAACAGTGTCACCGTTTCACCCCACACAAGTCATTTACAGACTTACAAGTCTACATCAACAAAAACCACAAGACCTGGTATACTGTGTTATAAAATGCGATTTATTCCCCCCCAAGTCTTCTGCAGCATCCTTATGGTGCCTGGAAGAAAAGAAATTGATTAGACTTTTAAATACACTGAGCTGATAGCACATTGGCATAGTTTACAGACTCACCTTTCCATCAAAGCACCGTTGTTCACATGGCCTATCTGCTGGTAAACACACTTCTGTAGAGCACATGAAATAGATCTACAGGGGGAAAAACAAAACACCATTCACCATGGCAGAAACAGTTTATACATCCCATATGCATTTTCCACAGAATGACAGCACTGTTGCCTCTAAAGTACAAAATCTCAAGTGGAGGCAATTCAGTTTGGAGCAGACACTTAACACTTGAAAGCTAGACAAATATTACATTGACATATTTGGTAAATTTCATTTCCACTTTGCAATCATAATAGCGGGATAGAATACATTTAGTCAACAGGTTACGGTTCTATTTGTAAAAAACGACAACTTAATGAACAAGTCACCACATTACTGTGTCAGGGCAGTTGTACACAGCATAGCTTTGACCATTTAGACCCATAACGGCTTCCTGATTACTCACTTCTTCATCAAGGTATTTGTTTGTCTTTTGAACCATAAACTGGAAGGCTTCAACCACAAACCGCCTCTGATGACGATTTTTGCAGTCAATGATTTTAAGGAGGGACACATTTGGAGCATAAAGGTTGGGACACCTGGAGACAAATATGACTCATGGTTAGGCAGAAAGAGGGCGAGGAGGGTGTGTTTTAGTACACATGGAGTTCGGTCATGCTTACCCTTCATAAATAAGCACCAGTGCATTCCTTGCAGAGCGAGGGTAAGCTACACAGTAGTTGACAAGGATTACCGCATCTGGTTTTGGTGATATCAGGCGCAGTTCAAGATAGACTGGACTGCCAAGGAGCAGTCGCAAGGGCTGATTATTTGTGGGCAAGTAGCTTGAATACGTCTGATCTGTTGGGGTTAGACAGACAAAGAGCAAACAGTCAATGAATTTGACAAGTCCATATTTCAGAGCTACTCGTATGCAATCCTACTCCAGCAGAATCAAGATTGTACTTGTTGCAATTGGTATAGAAAATAAGGCATAAATACCCAACCTTTAGCAATTCTCAAGTCAACAGCATATAAGCCATTAGAGAGGACCGCTGACGGCAAGGTGGAACTCGGGGTCTTCACCATGTAGCCAACGCTGGTTAGTGACTGCGGAGCAACGCCTGCTTTGCTATAGCGACACTCAACCATGAACCTATGCAGATACGTGGGTTAACATTTAAGCTTAGCACTACACAAAAACACAACAGAGTGGTAGAATTGTGCCCACAGAGTCAAAGTGTATTGTGTAACACTAACCTGAGTGGATCACGTGTTGCAATTACGCCATACTGGAGGGTCAGAGATTGGATGACAGTCTGCACTTCAGCCAGGTAGATCATCGTCTCACCAACTTCCTGTCAAGAAAAGTCAACTTGTCAGCTGTTTGCTTCAGGTTTCCCAGCAGATTACACAGCATGCATAATGTAAGGCCTGAAGCACACCCTCCAAGACTCCCAGTATGTTTAGAGTGAGTGCATTTATAAAATCCCTTTACTTGTGATTTAGCAATCTGCTCTTTTAATGACCACCACATTGAGAAACACATAATATTCTGTGCACCTTACAGCACAGTTAAAAATCTGAAATCTAGATGCAACACTATCAACCTGTGACATAACCGTGCGCTACAATGGCAGGTCAGGGCGAGGAAGTCGAGGCAAACGGAGGGCTGCAGCATTAAACGTGCTGCCTGTATTTGGGACAAGAGTCTCAGGGACAGGCCTTTTTCTGCCTGTCAGAGAACATGAAGTCTCTAGCAACTTAACTGAAAGTTAAATGTAATCCCTTCTGTTCACAGTATAGGTAGTAACCCCATTGCAGAAAATAAAATCATCTCCCCTTCAAGGATCTTGCTAATTGTTCAGTCAATCTCAATTGAGCATGAAGGCCTGCAGTGTGAATATAGCTTAACTAGGACTAAGCTTTTAAATTAAGTTTTACGGAGGTCAAGTTGTGAAGCATCTTCCAACTTGCTAAAAAAGTAACAAAGTGGAAAGTGCACTGGGAAAAATGTAAACACAAAGGGCATGACTTACATAAGCATGAACTCCACATTCTGAATTTTTGAACTTAAAGATGGCAACTTTGTCGTTGACAATGACTGGTTTACAGTTTGTACTCCCAGAAACAACAAGCTTGGTGGGGTCCACAGGGATTGATGCAGAGTTGGCACGAATGGCGAACACAAAGTGTTGATCAACAGTGCACTCTAAAGAGAGGGGGGGGCAAAAGTCACTTGAAAGACAGACATTTCCTATTTGAACATTTTTTTAAACCACTTCTCCCTAATCAGAAGCCTCACCATCCATTGGGTAGTAGCAGGTAGATGTAGAAGAATCCACACAGCATCCCATCATCTCACAGTCTGAGGATGATATTCCTGACTGGCCACAAGTCACCTGCTCTCCTGTGGGGATGCCACAACCTAATAGGACAAAGACCAAAAAAATAAACAAATTCTGACATCAAAAAACCAAAATCCAGTAAAGTGTTACTGTACAACATTTCTATTCAGCACATTTGCTGAACATACTTTGTACTGACCATGTGTCATTGGCAATGTTTGTAGTTGCGGCCCTTGCGGGGATGAAGGCTGTTGCGGGGATGGGGGCCCTTGGGGTGAGCCGGGCCCTAGGAGCGCTCCAGGCCGTCGCGGACATGCAGGCCGTTGCGGCCGCGCTCGGGTTGGATGAATTTGCGGGGATGAAGGTTCTTGGGGCAATCCAGGCAGTTGTGGGGATGAAGGCCCTTGGGGCGACCCAGGCCATAGGGGCAAAGAAGGTTCTTGTGGGGATGAAGGCCCTTGGGGCGACCCAGGCCATAGGGGCAAAGAAGGTTCTTGTGGGGATGAAGGCCCTTGGGGCGACCCAGGCCATAGGGGCAAGCCAGGCTGTTGGGGGGAAGAAGGCCCTTGGGGCGAGCCAGGCTGTTGGGGATGAAGGCCCTTGGGGGACCCAGGCCCTAGGGGCAAAGAAGGTTCTTGTGGGGATGAAGGCCCTAGGGGTGAGCCAGGCTGTTGGGCCCTTGGGGCGATCCAGGCCCTAGGGGCGAGCCAGGCTGTTGCGGGGATGAAGGCCCTTGGGGCGACCCAGGCCCTAGGGGCGAGCCAGGCTGTTGCGGGGATGAAGGCCCTTGGGGCGACCCAGGCCCTAGGGGCAAAGAAGGTTCTTGTGGGGATGAAGGCCCTTGGGGCGACCCAGGCCCTAGGGGCAAAGAAGGTTCTTCTGGGGATGAAGGCCCTTGGGACGACCCAGGCCCTAGGAGCAATCCAGGCTGTTGCGGGGAAGACGGCCCTTGGGGTGACCCAGGCCCTAGGGGCGAGCCAGGCTGTTGCGGGGATGAAGGCCCTTGCGGTGACCCAGGCCCTAGGGGCAAAGAAGGTTCTTCTGGGGATGAAGGCCCTTGGGACGACCCAGGCCCTAGGGGCCAGCCAGGCTGTTGTGGGGATGACGGCCCTTGCGGTGACCCAGGCCCTAGGGGCCAGCCAGGCTGTTGTGGGGATGACGGCCCTTGCGGTGACCCAGGCCCTAGGGGCCAGCCAGGCTGTTGTGGGGATGAAGGCCCTTGCGGTGACCCAGGCCCTAGGGGCCAGCCAGGCTGTTGTGGGGATGAAGGCCCTTGGGGCGAGCCGGGCCCTAGGGGCAATGAAGGTTCTTGGGGCGAGCCAGGCTGTTGCGGGTATGAAGGCCCTTGTGGCAAGCCGGGCCCTAGGGGCCAGCCAGGCTGTTGGGGCCCTTGGGGTGAGCCAGGCTGTTGGGGGGATGAAGGCCCTTGTGGTGAGCCGGGCCCTTGCGGTGACCCAGGCTGTTGGGGGGATGAAGGTTCTTGGGACGACCCAGGCCCTAGGGGCAATCCAGGCTGTTGCGGGGATGAAGGTTCTTGGGACGACCCAGGCCCTAGGGGCAATCCAGGCTGTTGCGGGGAAGACGGCCCTTGCGGTGAGCCGGGCCCTAGGGGCGAGCCAGGCTGTTGTGGGGATGAAGGTTCTTGGGACGACCCAGGCCCTAGGGGCGAGCCAGGCTGTTGCGGGGATGAAGGCCCTTGCGGTGACCCAGGCCCTAGTGGCAATGAAGGTTCTTGGGCCGAGCCAGGCTGTTGCGGGGATGAAGGCCCTTGTGGTGAGCCGGGCCCTAGGGGTGAGCCAGGCTGTTGGGGCCCTTGTTGTGACCCAGGCCCTAGGGGCAATGAAGGTTCTTGGGGCGAGCCAGGCTGTTGCGGGTATGAAGGCCCTTGTGGCAAGCCGGGCCCTAGGGGCCAGCCAGGCTGTTGGGGCCCTTGGGGTGAGCCGGGCCCTAGGGGTGAGCCAGGCTGTTGGGGGGATGAAGGCCCTTGCGGCGAGCTGGGCCCTTGCGGTGACCCAGGCTGTTGGGGGGATGAAGGTTCTTGGGACGACCCAGGCCCTAGGGGCAATCCAGGCTGTTGCGGGGATGAAGGTTCTTGGGACGACCCAGGCCCTAGGGGCAATCCAGGCTGTTGCGGGGAAGACGGCCCTTGTGGTGAGCCGGGCCCTAGGGGCGAGCCAGGCTGTTGTGGCAATGAAGGTTCTTGGGGTGAGCCAGGCCCTTGCGACGACCCAGGCTGTTGCGGAGATGAAGGTCCTTGCGGTGAGCCAGGCCCTTGCGACGACCCAGGCTGTTGCGGGGATGAAGGTCCTTGGGACGAGCCGGGCCCTAGGGGCGAGCCAGGCTGTTGCGGGGATGAAGGTCCTTGGGACGAGCCGGGCCCTAGGGGCGAGCCAGGCTGTTGCGGGGATGAAGGCCCTTGCGGCGAGCCAGGCCCTAGGGGCGAGCCAGGCTGTTGCGGGGATGAAGGTTCTTGGGGCGAGCCAGGCCCTTGCGGCAAGCCGGGCCCTAGGGGCGAGCCAGGCTGTTGCGGGGATGAAGGCCCTTGCGGCAAGCCGGGCCCTAGGGGCGAGCCAGGCTGTTGCGGGGATGAAGGTTCTTGGGGCGAGCCAGGCCCTTGCGGCAAGCCGGGCCCTAGGGGCGAGCCAGGCTGTTGCGGGGATGAAGGCCCTTGCGGCGATCCGGGCCCTTGAGGTGACCCAGGCCCTAGGGGCAATGAAGGTTCTTGGGGCGACCCAGGCCCTTGGGGTGACCCAGGTTGTTGGGGCCCTTGGGGCAATGAAGGCCCTTGCGGCAAGCCGGGCCCTAGGGGCAAGCCAGGCTTTTGTGGACATGCAGGCCGTTGTGGCTGCGCTCGGATTGGCTCAATGCGCTTAAATGTGGGATAGGATTGGCCACTGGAGCCAGGAAATACGCCTGGGTCAACCTTCAGGCTTCTCTCACAAGATGCGGTAGCAACTTGTGTCTGATCAAACGCATTGACGTACAACAACTGCAGGCTGTAGCGGTTACTCTGTAATACAAAGAGCTTTTTGAAGTAAGAACTCAATTCAAGACATGCAAAACTACACCAATAATAGACTACAGAGCCAAGACAATTACTTCAAAGTACATTTAACAAAGCCTACCCGTTTCACATGGCACCCGGTAAAGGGTACAGCCAAGGTGTTAGTCAAAGGGTTCACTTCATAACCACAAGACTCTGGAGCATCCATAACAGACAGCAGGTCCTTTGAGCCTGATGAACGAAGTGAAAGCCTAGTCAGTTTACAACATGCATTCAGCAAAATAAAGACATTTAAATAGGCAGCAAAGTCAAGTACATACCCACAACTTTAACTTCACTTAATGAACCTTTCAGCACAGTAATTTGAAAGCCAACGTCACTGCAAACCACATCTAGCCCAGTCCGACGCCGACTGGTACCGCTGGTCTGGCTCCTTGAAGGGGTATTGTCAAATTCCATCTGGAAACTACTATCAGTACCTCTGCGCCATGTTCTTGGACTAGAATCTACTGTGTCAATCTGGTCTCCATGGTTAGCAAAATTGTAGAAGTTTCCACTGGCGGTGGCACCTTCAACTTGAAGCAATGAATCCTCAAGAACTGCATCTTCACCGCTGTCGTCCTCCCTGCGGTCATCTGGAGTGGAGAGGGGCAATTGTTACCAATGTCACAGATTGCAGTCAAAGAGAATTCAGCCATTTCCTGTCAAATCGATGTAGACAGCCCAGCCAAATGGTTTCTTCCAGTCTTTATGACTAAGCAGTTGCTAGAGTGGACTGAAACACAGACATCTCAGGTCATCCATGCTTGATATGATGGAAATACATAGGCTAAAACTAGGTACACGACAATCTCCACTATCGCGGCTGCCATCTTTGTTCCGATAGACGTTAACTCTGGTTTTTCCCTCAGGCGTCTTGCGGTGTTGAGAAAGTTACTCTTTTTGCAGAACTTCCAGGTTCTGATTCATTACACCGCCAGAATAATAGATACCTCCTCGTTTCCCATTGAAATACTGGCATTGTGAGTGCGCCAAAGTCACAAAATAATCTCATTTTTTGCTGAAGTATAAACATTTGTAAACAACTGTAATAGATATTTAGTTTAATTGCTAAACTACAAGTGAACAAAATTTCAATGAATTTGAACAACAACCTTGGGAGTTTTATTGCCCGCAAAATCTGCTTCAATTGACTAAGAACATAAGAAGCAGCCAGCAGAGTGTGCTATAGCCATGCCGTAGGGTCACACCTTTTGCTTTAACTTCAGGGGAAAACAAGACAAGTGTAAGGGACTACTTTTGGCTTTTAAATGACCAGTGTTGTGCAATTATTGAAGCAATAAACCTGGTCTTGTTATCATTTTCAAGTATATTTCAAGCCCTTTCCAGCTGTACAATTTGTTTTAGCATTTGACCACACTGCAAATTTTGTTCACATACCTACTACAATCATAAAGTCCATGACTTTGTAAATGACAGCTACAAAGCGATGTCTGCGTGTTACCATCCCTCATAAATGACAGTGGTCCAGTTGTAGACGTATGCAAAAGACGACATTTGCAAGAACCTGCTTTCAGTGACCACACGCTTATTATCGGTGCTGTGTCATTGGTGGTTGTTTACCTGGCGAGGGACGTTGAATTTTCTTGATCCGCGCCCATCCCTCTACTGAAACCAGCAGAGTCGCAGTCAGGACCAGCAGCAGCTCTACCCTGACGCCAGCCATGAATCAATGTGAAGGCCCTCCTGCAGTTGCTGAGCACCCAGACAAAGATATAGCCTCTTGAAACGGAGCGGGTGGCGGTTTGAAGTCAATTGAGTGCACCTGGTGACTACTGATTGGCACTCAACTAAAGTCACAGGTTTGGGAATGAAAACTGCCTGTTTACTAAAGGAAATGCCTATTTCATGTTTCTAAGATGTTACAGTTCTTTTAAAATAAATCAACTGACCAACATTTAATGATGTAAATGTATGACATTATGTTACAAGTTACAGGCACACAGTCTGTGCAAATACTTTTTGAAATCTTTTCTTAAGTATAACTGGAATTTATCTTTCAGACAAACATTTTGAATACTGCAAGCATGTTCAGTTATTTTATTTTTCTAAATAACACCTTGGATATTGCTTGTTACACATTTAATCAACACAGGGTTTTCCTTTGGGTGCTGCATTACATTTGGAGGTGTCTCTAATATTGTCATTGTCTTCCTCATGTACAGTGTGTACATGTCATTGTTTAAAAAAATCATTGAAATAGATTAAATACTATATGAAACCATCTACTCTCCATCTCAAAAGTAGAATCAACAGCTAAAACCATCTTACAAGCATCACACAAATACATTCTATCACAAAGATGTTGAATAGATTACACTTTACAGTTATACCTAATAAAGGTTGTCATTAACATTTAAATGCTTCATTTCACTGACGGATGGATGGATTTCACTGACTGAAATAATTAAACTCAGCTGGCTTTCATTTCAGTCTCCAAAAGAAAAGCTTCATGTAAACGGCTATGTTCAAATGTATTTCACAGAGCATTGCCGGACTTTTATCTTTTAAAGTTCTTCCATGATGATGGATCAGAAATCACACCTTTCAGCGTCTTTAACTAGAAGAAAAATATAAAATAAGACACCGAAATTTCTCGGGGGTGGCAAAAGAGTTTATTGCAAATATTTCAGTACAAGAACACAAACACCCATATAGTCTACTACTGCACCACAAGTCAAATAAGCAGACTATTCAAAAGTCTTTATCATTTAAAACATTAATGTCCTTTCTTGTAATCTTATTCTCTAGAGCCAAAAGAAAAACCTGGGTGTTTTTTTTAGTAGTGAAGTAGAAATTCCCTTGTAGGCGTTGGCCTTATATTTGACTTTGTATGTAAACGCACCGCCCCAAACGATTGCTTCACTTTTGGTCTGAAAGCACCATAATAGCAATGCGCCAAAGTACATGCGCACCTGGCTTTAAAAGGGAATGGGAAATGATAACGATGCCATTTGACCAACTATAGTGTATTAATGATTATTGACAAATATATATTGACATTTAGGCTACCTCTCCTCCACTCTGTAGGGCAATCGCCTGCAGGACTTAAAAACAAGGCAAAAACATAAAAGGTGCGCAATGTGTTTCAGCGTCGTCAAGGTAACGTGATAAAGTGCTGTCCCGTTCACAGCATTTTGAGCCAGTGACGTCAGTAAAGTCTGAGGGTTCAGGGCTTGGGCCTTGGACTCTAGCTCAAAGACTTGTGAGCATGTCTGACACAAAGATTTTCCCCCTCATCATTTTTAACTGCCCCCTCAGTCACTTCATCCTGGCGCCAGGCCTGAAACCAGGAAATATTTTCCATCAAATATGATCCAGTTTCAGCAAAATCAGTGAATAAAGTTGTGCTTTTATGAAGTAAGCAGTGGTATTTTTTGTCATTGATGGACCAGATGGTTGTGCACCACAGACAATCTACATAAAAACTAAAAATCACATTTACACTGCAAGCTCAAGAGGCAGCGATACAGCTGAAAAGTAAATTTCTGCTCTATGTAAAAAATTATGACCATTAGCTACTAAGGGGTCATAAATGCATGCCAGAACTGAAGACGCCGTCTTACGGTTTACAAATGTCATCATCTTTGTTGTTTTAATACAGACACATTTAGATATGAACATAGTAATGGGTTTTTTGTCCAGCTTTCTGCCCTCATTTTTAAGCTGCATCTCTGTTTCTTCATAATTCTCAGAATGTCATTTTGTGCAGTCTCTTCAACAAAGTCCAACCACTAATAAAACTTGATCAGTACTCGTATTTTCCCTTGTCATGTTACCTTTATATAGCACACCATTCACAACCCAATATATCATCCAAGTACTTTTCAACTGGGGAGGATGTAGTTTTGGTGTTGAAGTACTGCATTATTCTGAGGTGTTTCCGTTGATCCTCTAGGGATATTTGCATTCTCATTTTCCCTCTTTATCTACAATATACAGTGGATAGATTCCTCTGCTCAAAAGGCTGAAGATCACTACCAACAGTATCCTTGTAAGAACAGTGTCACCGTTTCACCCCACACAAGTCATTTACAG